TATTTATGGAGCATTAAATATAGGTAAAAAAATAACTAATTACATAGTTTGGTTGTAAATCACGAGACGGATCTTTTGAGCCTAGTTAGTCCATGATCAGACAAAGTTTGTCAAATACAAACAAAACGTGCTACAGTGTCTAGGTTGCAAAAATTTACAATCTAAACAAGGCCTAAATTGTGAGTAAGGCCTTGTTTAGATTGAAAAAAAATTCAACCCGATGAATAATAGCACTTTCGTCTTATTTGGTAAATATTGTCCAATCGTGGACCAACTAAGCTCAAAGATTCATCTCGTGATTTTCAACTAAACTATGCAATTAGTTATTTTTTTTACCCATATTTAATGCTCCATGTAAACGGCTAAATATTGATGTGATAGAGAGAGTGAAAAAACTTGGAATTTTGAGGATATCTAATAAGGCCTAAGAAGCAGCCACAGCGGCTGTGAAACAGCCTGCCGAAACTGGTGGTCGTCGTCCGTCAGAGGTGAGACTGCCGGTTGGGGATTTGGGTGGTACAGTACGTAGTAGCAGACGTTTGGCACGCCAAACCTTGCATTGTAATGGACTAGTGGTACGAAGGTTGACGTTCAGATATGAATGGAGGTAAAGCCTTGTACGTATCTACTCCTAGCTGGATCGTTGCAGCTGCTCTCGATCGCTAGACTACGTAAAGAATTGAAACCGCTGGTCAACAGTCGAATGTTAAAAGTCTTTCCAAATCTCACTCTCAAAATCGTCATCTAGAGAGTCATTTGCATAGAAATCGTTTTCTATATTTTTTCAATCTCCAACAATTTTTTATATCTCGTGTGTACTCCCAGAGAGCTATTCTTGTCTTCTATTTTTTTGCTAACGAAAAATCTAAAATAGAAGATGGCTCTATTTAAATAACCATTTAGAGAAACCGTTGGAGGATAACTTTTCACCAAAATCTCTATTCCTAACATTTATGAATGATACAGTTATATAGAGAGCCTCTTTAAGATGCTCTCAGAATTGATAGAAAAAAGTCACTGATGACGTCGAAGAAGTAGCAGCAGTAGTAGTAGTAATAATAATAATATACTAACCCATTACCATTTCGCCATCTGGGTGTGCGTACGTGCGAGTGTGAATGCATGCACCCACCAGGCCACCAAGGCACCACGGTGTCGATCCGTTTGGTTCCAAAAGTCAAAGCGGGTTGCATCGGACAAGAGTAAAATGGGAGGAAGGACAGGATCGTTCGGACGACCCACCCAAAAGTCCAATGCTACTATTCAACTACTAGTAGCAGTCTAGCTAGCAGATGCTTTGCTTGCATTTGGAGAAAGCAAGCCGCGCCTCAATATTCAAAGCGCAAAGCAAAAGTCAGCACCCCACCACCAGCACGAGGAGGAGAGCACAATGCAAAGTCCACTTGCATCTGGCTGCCCTCGCAGATTGGCTAAACAAATGGAGGAACAACACAACTGTTCCAAGCATTTTCCTTTATTTGTACGTACGTACGTACTACTACTACTAGTATAATATAATTAATATATAAAAATATATTCTTGTTGATCCGATCCAAATCCAAAAAATAATTAGCGCGTGTTTAGTTGGCCAAATTTTGTAATTTGGGTTACTGTAGCAATTTCGATTTTATTTGGTGATTAGTGTTTAATCATGGACTAATTAGGCTCAAAACGTTCGTCTCGCAATTTCCAACTAAACTGTGCAATTAGTTTTTTTTTCGTCTACATTTAATGCTCCACGCACGTACCGCAAGATTCGATGTGATGGATATCTGTAGCACTTTTTGAGAAAAAATTTTGGAACTAAACGAGGGCTTAATCATATATACTGTTTGACGAAACGAGAGTAGCTAGAGTGGTGGGTTGCACGCGGGTTGGACTTGTCGGGGTTACAATTGCATCTATACTTATACCGTACATGTCAAAATTGCGCGACTTGTTCAACTTTGTTCCCCGTCATGATATATAAATGTGCTGGAAAGCTCTTGTTAGCTCCAAACGAAAACGGCATGCGTGTATATATGCATGGATTACACGCCAGGACGCATCACGACGGGTGCTTTCCCTTGTCATTCACAGTTCATTCTAACAAGTGGTGATTATCATGGTGTATATATAAGCTAGTGCACCCTTATATGAGAGAGAACAGTTCTGCAAAGTAATATTAGTCAATTCCGTATTCGCCATTGTAGCTTTCTCGGTGCACGAGACGTGGGGTCTACACATGTGTGGCTGACAATGACAAATAAGGAATTAAGCAAAATTACAATTTTCAGTGGTAGGAAAGATTATTGTTTGCACACACAAAAAAATGGAAAATACCACATATTAAATTAGGCATTGTCTTTGTTACGGACGTGCGGGAGTCTAACGCCCCACACGCCCAGATCCTCTCCCTCACGCGCCAAGACTGCAAGACGCCTCTCTCTCCCCCCCCCATCTCGCTCTCTCTCCTCGGCGACCTCCTCCCCAGCGCTCGCGTGCACGCCCCACCTTGCCCCAACGTGCCATGGACGACGCGGCTTCAGGCGGATCCAGAGTCGGTGGCCATGGACGACGCGACTTCGGGAGGATATGGCATCAGTGGCCATGGACAACGTGGCTTCGGGCGGATCTAGCGGCGGTAGAGCCGGCGAGGTATGTCCTCCTCTTCTTCCTCCTTCTGGATCTGCGAGTTAGGGTAATGACGAGCTTCTCTCTCTTCAACTTCGACGGGCTTCGAAGAGAAGGGGTTTGGGGGAGGAAGGCTGGCCAGACGATGGGGATGGCTGGAGGACGATTTAGGGGCCCTGGCGATGGTGGAGAAGTCCAGGCCAAGGCGGGGTGGGGGAGCTCCGTCGCCATGGCAGAGCTCCTGCGAGAGGGGGGAGAAGGTGGTCACAATGGGCGCCCTAGGGTTTCGTTGGAGCTCTGTGGCTGCCGCCACGGCCACGAAGCTCTGGCGAAACCCTAGGGCGTTCGCGTCGGTGGGTGGGGGCAGCGGTGGGCGTGAGGGTGAGTACAGCGCGACCACTGGCGAGGAGGAAGAAGGGGGGGTGGGGCGCATGAAGAAGGGTGTGCGAGGTTGAAGACGGCCATGTGTTAGCCTTACGCACGCACAGCCGTGCGTTAGCCACGTCCATTACATTATCGATATTTTACTGTCGCTTTTGAGTTTTACATTAACAGAATTAATTTCCCGTAGCTCGACAGTATAAAATTGATTCTTTCTTTTGGATGAATATAAAATTAGGTCATGGGATAAATTGCATAGTCGGAACGATGTAATCTGGATCATCTCATCTCGTCCAACACAAAACACATGTACATGTTTCCCTCTTCCTTCCTTATGTACTCCCTCTGTCCCTAAAATAGATAGATTTTTAGAGTTATCTTAAGTCAAACTTTTTAAACTTTGACCGAATTTCGAGAATAAACATGAAGATTTATGATATGAAACTAGTATCATTAGATATACCTCATAGAATATATTTTCATAATGTACTCATTTTATGTTATAGATGTTGTTACTCTTTTTCTATAAAGTTAGTCAAACATAAAAAAAAATTGATTGGCACGGATTCTAGAAATTGATTTATTTGGAGACAGAGTGAGTAGATTGAAGTTCCATCCTAGACTTCCCCCAACACATGAATTTCTCTTGAATATGTACCCTTTGTCCAGAAAACAATACAATTGTAGAATAGCATCAAGTTAAGCGGTTTTGAGTTTCACCAAAGTTATAAAAAGATATTAATATTTATTATACAAAATAAGTATTAGTACATTCATAATGGAATATATGTTTTTGTAATATTTCTATTTGATGTCGTAACAATTGATAATATTTTTTAATTAAAGTCAAGATAGTTCGACTAAAAAAAGAGAACTAGGTTTGCATGAGAGATGTCCTTGCTTCTTCTCCGCAACTCATACAGATACAAAATGTATTTTCCTGTGAACCGAGAAGCACCGCTTGTACCGGCCTGCTCTTGCAGCCAGTATTCCCTCCGTCAAAAAAAAAGAATTGGGCTTAAGTTTGATCAAATTTATAATAAATAGTATTATCATTTATGTTTCTAAATAAATTTATTATAAAAATATATTCTATAACTAATCTAATGATATTTATTTTGTATCATGAATATTTATACTTTTTTATGTAAATTTAAAAAAGGAAAGGAATTTTATGTAAATGTAGTCGATGTTCAAATTATTTGGCTTCTCGGGATCTAAGAATTGCATTCCTATATGAACAGCAAGAATTTCCTAATGTCAACGGGTGGAAAAGCCGGAGGGGAGAGCACCGAGAGCCAGGCGCCACGATTCCACGAATGGCCGTGACGCCGTCGAACAAAGGTTGTTCATTCAAGGGCCCAGTACGGTGTCAGACAGGTGGGCCCGTGCGTCGCCCTCGGCGCTCTGCTGGCGCTGGGGCTCGGTCAACTCTTGGACACCACCCCAACCCGCACCCGGCCCCCAAGTCCACAGCTCCCAACCCCAGTATTTATTGTAATATAAAGTCCGTCCCTGAAAGCGAAAGCGACCGCTCATCGCCTGCTTTTGACCGGCTTTGGTGATGGGCGGGCCCCCCGCACCCCGCCCGACACGATACTTAAAGCGCGTATTCATGCCGTGCCCATCCCCTGTCCGTTTCTTTGACTGCTGCTCTTCTTCCAAAGGGAACCTGATGCTATGCGGCGACGAACTTCAAATCAAATCACCTTCACTTTGTGGCGTGGATCATATTCCTACAATTATAACTAATTTCTGAGAAATTCACGACGTACTGTAGTATGTATTACGGAGTATATATAGATTATAGAATATATACAAATCTGTAAGATTGGAGAAAATTCATGGCGAATTCAAGTTTAGAAGCTCTTTAATTTCTTTACAGAAGCAAAGCTTGAGATCTACCACTAATTAATCCAAAGAACAAATCAAACAAGAGCGGACTACTACTACTAGTACTCATGATTGACTACAGCTGCTACCGACGGCAAGCAAACGATCTTCATTCAGGCCGCGCGGGAGCGGAAGGCGCCGGCGGCGGCGTCGTGGCGGTGGTCGCCCTCGTAGGTGACGACGAGCATGGCCGGGTCGTCGGCGGCGCGCTCCACGTGCTTCCGCGCGGGGCAGCCCTTGACGCTGCTGCAGCGGTAGTAGCCGCGCGGGTAAGGGGACCCCTTGATGGGCTTCTGCCCGTACTTGCGCCAAGAGTAGTCGTCGGCGGGGATGTCCGACGACGCCGGCACGTGGGACCCCGGCGCTGCGGCCGTGGCCTCGGGCACGCGCACCGTGCGCCGGGACAGGCCCTGCCGGCTCCGCTTCTTCTTCGAGCAGTGGCAACGCCCGCCGGCGCCGCAGGACTCGGCGGGGTGCTGGTGCTGGTGCTGGTGGTGCGCCTGCTCGGGAACGGAGGTGGGGCACGGGAGCTTGCGCTTCGGGAGGGGAGGCTTGCCGGAGGACACGGCGAGGCTGCACCCCTTGGACACGCTCCCTTCGCCGCCGCCCGCGGTCACGGACGACAGGAACGAGGTCGAGGTCCCGGACACGGCCGGCGCTGCCGCCTTGGTCGCCGCCACCGCCGGGACCGGGACCGGGACCGGGACCGGCTTGGTGAAGTCCAGCGCCAGCAGGGCCTTCTTCTGAGGCGGTTGCTCCGCCGCCGCCTGCGACGCGGCCTGGAGCATCGTCTCCGTCTCCATCGGCTCCACCACCGCGGCGACGGGCGCGCGGCGGAACCGGGCGTGCCCCGTGCGGTCCAGCAGGTTGATGACGCGGCGGAACCGGGACACCGCCTGGTCGGCGATCTGCCCGAGCGGCGGCGACTCCGTCCGCCCCGCGGCGCACGGGGACGACAGCGAGGAAGCCAGCAGCTCCAGGCTGCGCAGCCCCGCCGCGGCCGCCTCCTGGAACGCCAGCTGCTCGTACGCCCCCGCCCCGCCGCCGCAGGACATCAGGTCCACCGCCATGGCTTGCCTCCTCCTCTGCTGCCTGCCTCCTTCCGGCCTTGGGAGTGGCTCTGGAGCCTGGATCGTTGCTTGGATGGTGTTGGAGGTCAGATCCGCGCGGTGCTGCTGCTGCTGCTTTCTTGGGTCGTGGGATTGTGAGGTGGGAACAGGTGGTGGTGGGGGGTGGGTTTTATAGGTGGAAATGGTGGGAGAAGCTGAGCGAGAGGACCAAATGCTAGGCGACGAGCTGCCCGCCGTGGCTGTGCAAGGTCAATGCCTTGCTTGTCTTTTTTACCCAACCATGTTCTAAAGTCTTGTTTAGTTGCATGGTGTAAAATTTTGATATCACATCAGGTGTTATATAGAGATATCATATGAGATGTTCGGATACTAATAAAAAATAAATTACAAAATCTGTTAGGAAACCACCAGACGAATTTATTAAGCCTAATTAATCCATCATTAGCACATGCATCACTGTAGCACTTTATTGTCAAATCATAAAATAATTAGGCTTAAAAGATTCGTGTCGTAAAGTAGTCACAATCTGTATAATTAGTTATTTTTTAGTCTATATTTAATACTCCATATATGTGTCAAACATTCGATAGAATAAAAACGTAAACATTTTGGGAGGATCTATACAAGTCCTAAGGTCCTAAGGTCTGACTTAGGCCCTTTGTTTGGTGCCATTCAGACTCTCATTTTTGGCTCCTCCGGCTCGACTTCCGGCCCTCTTCTGTTAGTAGACACTGTTATTTCACATCCCTATGATCCGCTATCGATGGGAGTTACTTTGCTGATTCGCTAACGAGGGAAGTTACTTTGCGAGCATCAGATACGGAACTCCACTTCATGCTTTTCCAAAGCCGGTTTTGTCTCTCTTTGTTTTCTCTCTCACAGAGCCATTCTGAGGGGGAGAAGCTCGTTTTTTTCTCACACAGGAGCCCAGTCAAACGGGGCCTCATATATCAACCTTGGCTTTTTCTCAGGCACCACCTTGGGTTACACACTTATTACAGTATCCGAATACATGCAAGTGCACTCTTCTGTAAACAAAATCCGTTAGTAGTAGAATCGCAAAAAAAAAAATCCATTAGGACTATTTCTCGCTGAATAACTTATGGCTCCTATGATTCGCTATCGATGGGAAGTTACTTTGCTGATTCGCTAACGAGGGGAAGTTACTTTGCGAGCATCGGATTCTGCTCTAATGACGGGAAGACGGAACTCCACTTCATGCTCTATTTTCCATAATTCACCCTAGAAGCGTTTTAAATTAAATGGCCTACATGTATGGTTTTTTAAACTTCTACTCCGTAACAAATTATCCAATTGATACAACGGGCCTAGTTAGAAATCGAAATAAACAGCAGGGTCCAACGCAAAAACATGGCGTAATATGTGCACTACAGCGCTAGCGGTGTGATCCATCCATGTTCCGGAGTTGCTGCACTTTGGAAATAACGATCCAACGCTTTCTTTATGGGCCTCTTCTCCAGATTTGGTAGTCGGTACACCGAGACTTTGAATGCCAACTTTAATTTTGGGACCAAAAGTCAACAGTTGGAAAATGGTGACGATATCCCCTAGAACAAAGATAAGCATATACTTCTTCCGTAACAAAATAAATCAATTTTAATGGGGTTGTCCAAAGTCAAATTGTCTTTGGGTTGGTTAGATTTATAGAAAATAATATAATATTTATAAAACTAAAATAATATTATTAAATATAATAAAAAAAACTCGACCAACCAGGGGTATAACCTTCCCTAGGGCATTGTGATTAAGGTAGAAGACCTCAATCATGCTGATCGAGAAAATCCCTGGCGAGGGGATTTTTTTTAACAACACGCCATGAGCTAGCAACTCGTAGGCATAATGTAGATCTGTTTAAATCCGCTCCCATGAGAAGTCAAACCTAGGACGTGAGCTGCTACTAAAGCTATTGTAACTATTAGGCTACACGCTCTTTCGCTCATTAAATAGAAATGTATTTTCATAATGACCTTATTTCGTGCCCTAGATATTAGTATTCTGTGTAAAGTTAGATCGTTGATTCATATTGGGATGGGGAGGATATAATTTTATCGAAGACAAGGTCACATACTTCATGCAAGTAGTATCTTGCAACTTGAGAACATGCATTGTACTTTGATTTTGATTAATTAGCTTCTCTTTTCATCCACAAATATAAATCTTCTAGGATTTTCGTGCAAAACAAAGAGGTGGAACACAGTGACCAGAATATAGAACGGTGTGAATTGATGATATATATTATCAAAAGAGTAAGGTTGGATATCTAGAAGGGCCAGAAGTCCTTATATTCGTGTTCAAATAAGAAAACCTCATAATAATCATTACGCTTGTGGACGGAGGAAGCAATAGTTAATTAACTATAAAAGTCAAAGTTTTGTGTGCTCTCTCTCCAGCTCGTTAATTGAAAGTCAAAGTTTTGGGGTGATCTCTCTCTCCAGCTTGGTTCCACACGCGCATCGTCGTCCTATGTGTAGTAGTTTAGCCGTTGAAAATCTGCCACATGATTTCTTGCGCTTGGCGTGTGGAGGATGATGAGCTGAAGCTGATACTATATTTATTTATTTAATCCGGGAGAGGGAAACAGGGAGGGAGAGAGAGGGTCAATGGATCTAGAAGAGCGTTCGTATTCGTTCTCGTTCTTCGGCCGGCCGGCCGGCCAGGCAGGGCGCTTCCGTTTGAACGGACTGTGTCCATCCGTGCCGTGCATGCAGTACATGTATACATATACATACTCCTATACATAAATATAAATACAAAATGCACGGTTCTGGTGTACAGCTGCACAGGTCGATTGATACCGTCGCTGAACCGGTCAGTTTTGTAGCTTCCTCGGCCCTCGTGCAGTGCATGCGACGACGACTGCTCGGTCGCCAGCTTACTAGCCGGCTGCTGGTCCTGGTCGTTGCCGCCAGCAGCTCATCACTCTTCCTCCAGAGTGCAGAGTCCAGACCGTCAGGCTAAGGATCTCAGCGACCGAAACAGGTTCTTGTCTTCTTTTGTTCAACGGTAATTCTTCTTATAGGACTTCTGTCCGTGCCGGACGCTCCAGATGGTGGGCCGCTCGGCCCAGCATAACGACCGCCTCTTATGTGCTCATCCACTCTCCCCAACCGTTTTTTTAAAAAATTACCTCACCGTAGCGTCGCTAGAGGTCTCCACGAGGCCACCACCGCGCTCCGCCATGCTGCCTCGGTGACCGCTCTCTCCACCGTGTCTCCCTCTCCACCGTGCCTCCGTTCCGCCGGCCGGCGTCTCCACCGCGCATCGACCCACCGCGGCCTTATCCACCGGAGCGGCGAGCTCTACACCGGTGAACTTCACTCACCGAAGAGCCTCCATTCCTAAAAAGCAAGGAGATATTGCGTTGAAAGCACATGTTGCAAGCGTATGTTTCAAGTATTTTTAGATGCTTCAGAGATATAAGTGTTGCAAAAATGTTGCAGATCGGGATGTTGCAAGTGTTTCAAAGGCATTGCAAGCGTTTGTTCAAAATGGTTCATCTGTTTTAAATGTATGTTGCAAGTGTTTTGATCTAGATGTTGCATATGTTTCACACATATATGTCGCAAGAGTATGTTCGAAATGTTTCAGCTGTTTCAGTCTTATGTTGTAATAAGTGTTTTCATGTTGCAAGTTGCAAGTGTTTTATCTGAATGTTGTCAGGGGCGGATCTGCACCCCGGGCTAGGGGGCTGCAGCTCGGGGCATGGCCCTAAATAGTTAAGAACACCTCTTCAATCTTCAGCCCAAGATAGTCTAGAGTCTAAGCGTTCAGCCCTACCCGGCATTGATTTATCATAGGATTTCTAGCCTTCTACTATTTAGCTCTCCTCTAGCATCGTTTCTGGATCCACCACTGGATGTTGCATATGTTTCTTTTTTGTTTTGAGGGGATGTTGCATATGTTTTACACATGTAGCGCGATTTGTGGCTCCTTTGGTACTGTAGCACGGAGACTGAGCCTCAAAGAGCTCAAGCCAAAATCTTACCGAAGCTAGGAGGCCTTACTTAGGGCCTGTTTGGCTGGGCTCCTTCTCGATCCGCTCTTTGTGCTACAGTGTCGAGGAGCCGGAGCCGGAGGAAATGCGCTGTAACGGATCTCATTGGATTAGACGGATATTGTCAATTGATGATGATATCGAGCATGTAGGTTATATTCATACTGGTTTCTCATGTGGAACCATAGAAGGAATTCAATCACACTAATTGGTATATTTATTTATGCATCAATGATGATAAATGCATTCGCCGTAGATCCAGCATTACGGCAAACCCGTGGAGCCAAAAATAGTGGCTCATTCTGGCTCCTAGTCCATTTAGATAAGATAAAGAAAAACAGCTCTAATAAATAGTACCGTGAATAGTGTGTGATTTGGAGGAGCTGGAGCCCATGAGAGCTCTCCCAAACGCCCCCTTAGGTCAAGTTTGCCAAAGCTCTAGCTCTAGGAAATATGTGGATTTTCTAGAATTGGTCACATATAGCTCTAGAAAATCTTCGGTCTAGAGCTGTAGGCATGTTAGATGCATTTTCATGACTTATTTTGTTTATATTTTATATTAAATAAAAAATATTTAAATCACTTTAATTTAGTCTATAAATTATAGATGCAGAGTAGAGGTCGGAGCTAGAGTTGCGCCAAACAGACTCTTACTTGTATGCTTCGGTCCATTCTCTTTGTCCTTTTGCCTGATGGTCAATAGAAAACCCATGCTGTCTGTGTGACTGAAACGGTCAGCCACTCAAATGCTTTGGATGCAGCTAAGAGCTATATATAATCAGTAGGTGTTGTCCGTTTGTTAACTGGTTTCGTAACCACTCCAAATGCCAAAACAGCCTCGGACCTGAACCAATAAATTAAAGACGGGCGAGAAAAAGCGTCTGAATAATCAACAGGAGGATTATTGAATTCAGCTAGTAGCCTTCAGATTCAGAAGTAGGCTTGTCAAACTAGCCTGCCTGCACCTGCTCATTTACAAATGCGG